CTCCACACAAGTTTTCAGATCCACAAAAAGATGAATAATGAAAAACTACACATTGTAAAAGTTAGTAGCAAAAAAAAACATAGCAAAATACTTCATAGGAGAGAGAAAATAATAAAGCACCAGCATACACTGTGCATGCAACAAGCATGAAATATTGCAATGGACATTAGGAAAAACACAGCAAAATGGAACACAAAATATGTCATTCTGTATTCTGAGCAATGACAGAGACAAGAAACTTGAGAAAAGTTAAATTTTTAAGCAAGTTTAGAGTGTTGGACAAAATTTGGGGAGAAAAATTGGACAAAGTTTGTATGAGAAGTGAAAGAAATGTCACTTACCAGTGACTCTATTTATTAACCCTGTATTTATTAAATAGATGCTCCAGGCCAAAACAAGGTCCTAGCTTCAAGGCAAAAGAAAGAAACAAACAAACAAACAAACTCTACCCAAACTCCGAAAGTACACAGAGACAGAAAATGAGGTGAAAGACTAAATTCAAAGTAGGACATGGAGAGAGAAGGGGAGCACGTGAGAGACCCCAAATAGACCTCCAGTGGTACTGGTGACAGCACACATGTCCTCCAGTGGGGAAGAGGAGACAAAGGGAAAAGCCATGTGTGCAAGGATCCAGGTGTGAAGTGATAGCAAGGAGAAGGGGGGATGAGGATGGAGAAAGAAAGCCGGGGACAAAGGAGGGTACATCAAAGTAGTTTTATGAATGACAAGGGGGTTTGAAGGGCCCCTGAAGGCTTCAAGATGAAAATTGTAATTTCTGGAGATCACTCAAGTAGATGAGCATGAGGAATGGACTGGTGGATGTCTCTGGAAGCAAACTATCCCAGTGATAGCAAGTTGCACTATTACAACAAGAGAATAAAATGAAAACGTGCATCTTTTTGTGAATTTCATGAGGAATACATTTTGTACCATTCTCCAAAAAAATGAGAAAAGGAAAAAATGGAAACAAACTCTTTGTAAAATCTGAGAGGTGGAGGGGTTAAAGGGAGGGTAGTAGAATGGGGAAATATAAGAACCAAGATACATCATATAAAGGTTCAAGATCCCAATGATGAATGTAGCTCTACTGAATACTTAAAATGCACTAATAAACTTAGGGGTAAAAAGTTGGTGACCCAAATAGTTGGAACCAAGTTTTCTAATTGCACTGAAAAACTTATTTTCAAAGCTAACATTTGTCCTTCTGTACCTGGCTTCTTTCATTTTTATTTTTTCTTTATTGATACATTTTAGGTATACAGTAGAATGATATTTATCATTAGGATCTTGAATCTTTATATGATGTATCTTTGTTCTTAATTTTTTCCTATTCCCCTGCCCTCTCTTTACCCCCTCTACCCTCTCCTATTTGCAGAGACATTTTTTTCAGTTTTTTTTATTTTCTCTTATATTTTTCATTTCCCTTCTTAGCTTTCCCCTAACCCTCCTACTTCCCCTACACCTTTAGATATTTTTCCTATTACACAATATCAATTTTACATTTTGATTCTTATTTACACTTTAGGTTATTACACCAGAGAAACTATTTAGTATTTACATGTGTGAAATATTTCAATTAACAAAATGGCCTGTAGTTTACCCACCTGTCAGGATTTACTCTCTTTTCCTATCTGAATGTTGTAATAAACCACATACCCAACACATTTTCTTTACCCAGTTTTACACGGATGGACACTTAGGTCAATTCTCTGTCCTGTCTATTTTGAATAATGACACAATGTAGTGCAGCTAATGCTCCACCAGATGGACCTCATTTCCCTGGTTATACACTCAGAAGCGGGGTGACTGATCATGTGGTTGACACAGTGCAGTTCACATTGTTCTCCGCAGTGGCTGCGCTGGTGCACACTCCAGCAGTGCGTGCCTTGGTGTTCTTTCCTCCTCACTCCCCTGCCCACGTTTGCTCTTTGTCTTTTCTACATCAGCCATTCTAACAAAGGGGAGGGGAGAGACAACACCACACCGTCTCACTCAAATTTGGAATCTCAAAGTGAAGATCTTTCTGAAGTAGAGTAGATTGGTGGTGATCAGAAGTTGGCAGTGGTACAGGGATGGGGTTGAGACATGGTGGGCAAAGGATACGAATGGAAGCTAGAGTCTGAAATTTCAACTGTTCTATATTGAATTGTTGAAGATGTTAAGAAAGTGGATATTAAATGTTATGGCCACAAACATATTGTGGTGTGGATAATGCATACTATAATTAGCTACATCCAGCCAGCCCATGGTATACAAGGGCTTCAGAATATCATACCGTGCATGGTATATAAATGTATCTGTCAATTTAAATAAATTTGAAAATACATGACATTTATCCAAAGTACTGCTCTGCGGATTTTTATGCAATTTCCTAATGAAAATAGTTCAAAGTGTAATTCCCTGTCCTGCAAATGAAAGCGTACATAAGGAACGTGATGTCCACGTATCTCTGCTAACACTCTGGCTGGCACATAGAAAACACACTGAAGGTTTTTAGCTTTTCATAGTTTGGACGATATTTTTATTAAGAAAACCAATGCACACATTTTCTCACATTTAATGTTTGGTTCTATTTGTTTTAGGGTATGATCAAAGAAAACTCCAGCATTTTTCACAGGTTTAACTCCAGAACATAGGGCCCACTCCTCCGAGGAGCAGGTGCAGGTGAAGCAGAGTCCTCCCGCAGTGTCCTCTCTGACACCGCACAGCCTGCAGGCACTGTCCCTGCAGCTCTGCCTCCTGCAGACGGGCACACCCTGAGGGAGGCAGTGGGGAGGAGGCAGTGGGGAGGAGGCAGGCCCTGGCCTCTGGGGACCCTGGCTCTGCCCTGCTCTCTGGTGCCGGGCCCAGCATCTCTGCTCCACAGCCCTCTGCATTCACTACACTGGTGTGCGTTCTTCACCCCCAGTGCTCAAGTGCAGACTGTGTGTGAGACGTGAGCGCCCTTGGCCTACAGATGAGGAGAGGGAGGCTCAGCTGGATGCTGATCGAAGGGCGCAGGCTCCTTGAGGGTCAAGGTCTAGGAAGCAGTACTGGGGCCACAGCGCCACAGCAGCTCTCTGGCCACATTGCTTCTTGTGTACTATTTTGGGTGAGCAGTTTTTGTTTGTTACTTTGCTATTTATAAAGAAACACATCTTTAGCATATGGAAGTCACAAATGCTCACATGCCTTCTGTTCCTGTACGTGCTGTCAGTCCACTGAGTCTTCTCCACACTTCTACAATGAGTGTAATTTCTTGCACTTTAGTGTAAGACTGAGAAGGTGCTGATGTCCCTAGGACCACTGTGTCTGGCTGTCATGACTGTGCTAGGACAGTGCTGCTCTAATGCAAACACTATGCCCTTTGCCCTGATTCAAATTTCCCCCCATATCCAAGGTACCCACAAGATCAAACCTCATTTACAGATAAGATTGCTCTTCCTCCTCGGTTAGAGTCACTTGCGATTGATACTACCGAACGTGCTCTCTCCAGATGCTTTCAAATGTTTTCTTCCATGCTGTTCTCTAGTTTCCCCCCTCATTTAGCATAAAACTTGGTATCTTCTCCCACACCACTGCTTTCTGTCTTTCTGAAATTCTTGTTATATTTGCCCTTCATATCTGATGCTATTTTCCTGCCTCTCCAGAATGCTTGATGACAACACATCTGGAGGTTGATACGAACTATGGCTCAGTTAGATCCAGGAATCTGATCGCTGGGTGCTACTCCCTGAGTGCTAGGCAACACGGATCAGAAAAGGGGCTAAGACTCAGATTAGTGAGTATGATGGATAGGACTTAGTAATGATAATGTGACACAGTTTTCTTTTGAAAGGTAAAGAAATGCAGTATTGTTCATAAAACAAATAAAACTTGCACTCATCATTTTAGTCCTCATAACATTATGTTTCCAAAATCTAGTATTTGTTTTTTAAAATAGTTCATGCATATTCCTCATATTTATGATGTAGAACTAATCTTCAGAATGCTTCATATATGAAAATATTCATTAGCTGTAACTTTGTTTTATAATAAACGACTTCTGTAGAAATGAAATGGAGAAGTATGACTAAGGGAGAGAGCACAGTGAGGATGTCTTTGTCTGCTTGGGCTGCCATTGACTATTTCTGCAGGCTGAGTGCACAATGCCAACAGTATGTACTTAGAGAAAACAACAGGAAGCCTCCTTAATTTCCAGTCTGTGTACAGCTGGAGGCCTTACACACTGTTGGAGGAAGGAAAACAGCACAGCAGCTGGGCAGAGGAGCACAGCATTGCTCCACAGAATTAAACCTGTAGTTACCATAGGGTAAAGAAATGTAACTTCCGAGTCTGCAGCCTAAGAAATGGAGAGGAGGGTGCAAGAGGTGACAGACACCAATGTGCAGAGCAGCCGGTCACAGCGTCAGCAAACCCACGGAAACAATGTGTGCGTCAACTGAGACGGGTCAGAAATATATCTTTATACTTGAGCCATAAGAGAGGAAGCTCTAACATATTCTTCAGTAGAGGCATTTTAAAAATATGATACAAAAGAAATACCTTAATCACAGAACTATGACAGCTGCTAGATTCCAATTTAGTTCAATGAAATTCAACATAGACAGAGAGTAGAATTGGGGTATCCATGGTGGGAGGAGGACAAGAAGATATTTAATAGACACAGATCAAGTTGGCAAGATGAAACTACTATGGAAATGAATGTAGTGGTGGTTGTACAACATTACATATGTACTTAATTCCACTGAATATATGTAAAAATTTGGGAGATACTAATTTTTATCTTATGTATATCTTATGATTAGATAAGTCTGGAAAGAAGAAAATGAGAAAGGGGTACCTGAATTTTACTTCATGAACACTTTCAGGAAAAAAAAAGGTACATAAGATATGTAGCTGCATGAAATCTATTTTGTATCATAAACACACACCCATCAAAAAACAGAGGTGAATAAGAGAAAGGGGAAAGTCACATTAATCTCCAAATTTGTTGCTTTGCTTACAGTTACATATTAAAGATGGGTGCCATGGAAAGAGAAAATGCAAGTTTTCCCAACACTTTTGTATTGCTGGGCTTCTCAGAGTTTCCATGGCTGGAGAGGCCCCTCTTTGCAGTGGTCCTGGTCTCCTACCTACTCACCCTGATGGGAAACAGCTCCATCATCCTCCTCTCCCTGGTGGACCCCAGAATCCAGACACCCATGTACTTCTTCCTGGACAACCTCTCTCTGCTGGACCTCGGCCTCACCTGCACTATTGTGCCCCAGCTGCTAATCAACCTCTGGGGAGCACAAAAGACAATTGCTGCCTGGGGCTGCATCACACAGGTCTTTGTTTTCTGCTGGACAACTTCCACTGAAAGTGCCCTACTGGCTGTGATGGCCATTGATCGCTATGTGGCCATCTGCCGGCCCCTCCGGTACACAGTCATAGTGCGTCCCTCAGTATGTGTGCAGATGGCAGTTGCCTCCTGGTCCAGTAACCTGGCCAATGCTCTGCTCCAAGCCACACTCACCCTCCATCTCCCGCTCTGTGAACACCACACCCTGGACCATTTCTTCTGTGAGATACCTGTGCTTATCAGTCTGGCCTGTGGGGACACCTCTGCTAATAGGCTGTCCATCACATTGGTGTCCATCCCATTAGGAATAGTGAGTCCCCTGCTGGTGATCATCTCCTACATCTTCATTGCCAGAGCTGTACTGAAGCTGCCTTCAGCTGAAGGAAGGCACAAGGCACTGAGCACCTGCAGTTCCCACTTGCTGGTGGTCACCCTGTACTTTGGACCAGGCATCTATCTGTACCTCCAGCCTTCATCCAAGAGTTCCCAGGCCAAGTTTATGTCCTTCTTCTACTGTGTGATCACCCCAGTCCTCAATCCACTCATCTATACCCTGAGAAACAAGGATGTGAAGATGGCATGGAAGAGGATCCTGCAATGCCAGGGTGGGGCGAAGTCTTTAAAAGCCAGAAGATCACTGCCTGTCTCCCGAGCAACAGCATCCACACAGCAATAAATGCTGGTGTACCTTATTTACTTGTCCAACACAGTGTCCATGAACTCGAAAAGAGTTTCCCAATCTCAATGTCGGCTTCCTTGATGACTGGAAAAAATTATAAACTAGAAATCTCTCCCATCGTAAGTCTCACAGACAGCCATTGTGCTTTACTGAACCCTCAGTATGAGTCTGGTCTCTTTCCATTCTTTTTTAACATAATTGTGGTCATATATTTGTTTTTCACGATGTTGGATTCCATTCTGACCCTATTCTATGTACATGTAATGTGCGTTGATCACAGCCATCCTCCCTATTCCAGTCTTAAATTCTCAACCCCTGTCCTGGGCACCTCTGCCTTTTATAATACTCCATCATCTCCTATCATCTTTTTCCTCTTGTTTCCGTATATGTCAATATATGTGACACTTGTCTTTCAGCATCTGGCTTGATTTACTTACTGTGATGATCTTCAATTCCACCAATTTTTCGTTAGTGACATGGTTGTGCTTTCCTTGTTCACAAATAACATTCCATTGTATATATGCAGCTTTTTCCTTATCCATTCATACATTGATGGGCATCTATGCTCATTCCATAACTTAGCTTCTATGAGTAGTGCCACAATAAATGTTAATATGCAAGTAACTCTGATTTATGCTGACTTTAACTATTTTGATAAATACATAATGGAGTTGTTTATGGTTATTCTATTTGTAGTTTTATTTTTGTGTTTTTAAAAGAATCTCCATATTTTTTTTCTCTCATTGAGTTTAGGGGTAGGGGAAAGGTAATAAGGTAATAAGAATCTCCATATTGATTTCATAGTGGCTGTACTAATTTACATAACAAACAAAAAATGTGTAAGCTTTGAATTTGCCCTGTATCTTCACTAAAATTTATTTTACTTTGTATTCTTGGTACTACCTGTTTGGGGTGAGATGAAATCTCAACACAGATCAGATTTGTATTTTCCTAGCCACTATAGGTATTGAGAATTATTATTTTTAAAATTAATTTTATTGGTACATTTAATGTACAAAATATAATGGCATTTATTGTTGGAAAAATGTAATACATAATCAGTCTTGGTTATTATTTCTTCCCCAGTGCCCTGCCTTCTCTTCAACCCCTCCCTCCCTCCTTATCTACAAATACTATGTTTCCATTATTTTTCATTTTCTCACATTAACTCCATTCCCTTATTTCCTTTTCCCTACCCCTCCCATTTCCCCTTCCCTTTTGTCTCTTTTTTTTTCTATTTCATTTTGTCTTTTATGCATTTTAGTCCTTATTTACCCTTTCAGTTTCTCATACTATAGAAACTATTTGGTATTAATACATGGGTGTCCCATTTATATCAGTTAATAGTATCACCTCAATGTGCTTCCATTTAACTATAATTGCCTCTAATTATTTTTATGGCTGAGTAGTATTCCATTTTATTTAAAACCACATTTTCTTTATCCAGTTTCCCACTGTTGGGCAGTTGGGCTGCCTCCAAGTTTTACCTATCACAAATTGTGCTGCTATGAACCTGGGTGCACATATATCACGGTGCTATGATTCTTTTAATTCTTTAGGGAAGCTACCCAGCAGGGGAGCAGCTGGGCCAAATGGAACTTTCAATAATAAGCCTTTGAGGTATCTCCATATTGATTTCCACAGTGGTTGCCCTGGGTTACGCTCCAACCAGCAATGGGGCAGTGTTCCTCTTTTGCCACAACCTTGTCAGTACTTGTTATTAGATGATTTCATGATAGCAGCCATTCTTTGTGGGGTGAGGTGAAATCTCTGTTGTTTTCATCTGCATCACTCAAATGACCAGTGGTGTGGAGCATTTTTTCATATAGTTACTTGATGCTTTTACTTCTTTGTCTGAGAAATGTCTGTTCATTTCAGATGCCCATTTTTGGACTGGGTCTTTAAATTTGGGAAATCTGATTTGTTAAGTTCTTTATATATCATACATCATAGACTGTTGTCTGAGGAACACCTGATGAAAATTTTTTCCACATTGTGAGTTGTCTCTTCACACTGTCAGTCATTTCTCTTGCTGTGCAGAAACTTTTTAATAAGAAGACATCCCACTTGTTGATTGTCTCTGCTAGCTCATGGGCAACTGAGGTTTTGTTCATAAAATCTTTCTTATATCAAAGTCTCAAGAGTTCTACCTTACCTCCAGCCAGTTCAGTGTTTCTATTTTAATATTTAGATCTTTAATCCACTTGGATTTTAGTTTAGTGCATGGTGAAAGATACAAATCTAGTTTTAGTCTTTGGCAGGTTGAAATCCAGTTTTTCCAGCACCATTTATTAAAGAGGCTATCTTTCCTCCAATGAGGATGTTTGACTCCTTTGTCAAAGATGAAGTGGCTGAGTGTGTCTGGTCTTGTTTCTGCATCTTTCAATCCATTCCTCGGGTCCTCAGGTCTGTTTCTTTGCCAACACCATACTTTATCACAGTAGCTCTGTATTATAGTTCCAAGTTGGGAATTGTGACACCCTCTACCATCTTTTTATTGCCTTAAATTGTTTTCTTGATATCTCAGGAAGCAGTGGTGTGGTCCACAGAGGTGTGACTGAAGGCAGACCACAGCCAGGGCTCCAACCTGACCCCAGAGGCTCTGGCACACCCACCCAAGCCAAAGACATGCCCAGGAAAGAGCTGCACTGGTGCACAAGCTTCAGCCAGAGGCCCACCCTAGAGCATCAGTAGGTGCACACAGATCCCAGGCAGCAGCTGTGTGGTCCACAGAGGCACAGCTGTAGGCGGATCCAAGATAGGGCCTTGTCCCTACCCCAGTGGCTTGAGCACACAGACGACAGCAAGGGCCCACCTGTAAAAGTGCTACAAGAGTGTACAAGCAACAGGCAGAGGCTTGTCCAGATACCATTGACAAGTGTGCAGAGATCCTAGCTAGAAGCCTACTCAGACAACACGAACTTTGGTCCAGAGCCTCCAGCCAAAGGCCCTCCCAAACAACAAGTATATAGGGGCACCAGCAAAAGGCACACTCAGATACCTTCCCAAGTGTGCACAGGTCCCAGCCAGAAGCCTGCCCAGACAACGGGTCAGTACAGGGATACGAAAGGCCACCATTCCAAACCCAGGAATTAGTGCAGTGCTGACCAGTAGATAAAAGGGTTCTCAGTGGCCTGTTGAAAATTGAAGACCACTGGGTGAGCAAAAAAGTCACCTCAATAAAGGCACAGCAGACTGCATCTGTGGAAATGAGAAGACATGAAAATAAGTCTCAGAACCAGACTTCCAGATTACCTAAGGCAACCCCAAAGGGAAATGAGATGGAGCAGTCTGATACTCAACCACCTGGACTCCTTGAACTGACAACAAAAGAGAATCTGGAAAAAATGAAATCAGAAATAATTTCTCAGACAGCAGCAGAGATTGTGCCCACAGTGCAAGAACTGATTTATAAATCGAGAGAAGAACAGGTAGAAACAAGTTCTCTAGGGTTCAGAATTTACTATTCTAGAACATCTATCTGTTGACAGATTTAAGCAGTAATATACTCTATGATAGCTACCCACCTAAGTCAGACAGACCTGGCTTCAAGTTTCATCTGATCTTAGGTAAATTACTGAAGCTTTTTTATTACAATTTTTCCAAATGCAAAAAAAAGAAGGTATGGATTGTTGTGTCAGTTAAGTGGGGAACCATATTTAAAACACTCAGAGTTATTTAGATACTATTTCTGAAGCTCTTAATAGTGTCCTTGACTCAATTAATTTATCATATAGCTAGCTAACATGCTCTTATTTTTGGATCTAACACTGTTCTGTATGATATAGCAAATTTGATAATTACCTGTTCTAGGGATCAATAATAAGCTCTTTCTTGGGTCTCTGGGAAGGTCTCTGTTTATGAGGAAATGTCTGATGATAAGGACATAAGAAAGAGATACTGAATCATATTAGGGATTCAGCAAAAGTAATCTTTTTTTCCAATAGAGGCAAGAACTGCTACATTTGCGTACGTAAATTTTAATTGTAGCTGGTAAAACTATGAGACGTAAAGTGCTGGTTGTAAATGTTCTGTTTTTTCAACTTACTATGTTCATGTAGTAGACAACCAACTTAGTCAAGCTTATATGGGTAAAGTGAATGTCTAACTTGCAGCTCATGGGTTCTCCAGTGTTCTTTCCAGAGGGTAGTCGCAATGAGGGGAGGCTTCTCATGAGGTTAATTGCTTTCTGCTTTTGCCTGTCTATCTGTCTGTCTGTCTGTCTGTTTGTTTGTTTGTTTGTTTGTTTGTTTTGAGACAGGTATTGCTTTGTACCCCAGGCTGGCCTTGAACTCACAACAATCTTCCTGCATTAATCTCCCCAGTGTTGGGATTACATGTGTGTGGCACCATGCCTGGCTTGTCTGCTTAATCATCCTCTTCATACTACTTTTCCGTCTTCAGCGTATGGACTTAATTCTTTTTAGTGAAGAGGCACATATTTTTTTAAAAATCCCCCTTTGAATTTTGCACTATTATTTCTCCCAATTTTGTTTTCTTTTTAAAAGATAATAATAATAAGACTTTATTCAGAAAGAAACATAGGTAAAGGTTTAGGGATAATTATAATGGGATCTTTCTTGCAACTGGGGGGAGAGAACAGCTTCAACTCCCTACTCCAGTTTCAGGGATTTTGTTGTTTCTTTGTTTTATATTATAAAGAGAATAAAAAACAAGGCCAGGGGTTTGACTGAGTGGTTCCACCACAAAGGCCCAAGTTCGATCCCTGGTACCAAAAAGAGAGAAAGTGACAGAGACAGAGACAGAGAGACAGAGACAGAGAGAGAGAGAATAAAAGATGTTGTGAAACATTTACAAGTATCTGACCTTGTGGGGCTATCAAAACAGCAATTACATGTGTAGGGAAAATCAATGAAAGTTACATTGCATACAGTTTAGTCAATTTAAAAGTGTGTGTTTTAGGGGAAAATGTAGCTAGCAGAATGAGTATTTTGTAACGGGAAACTCTTCTTTGGGATTTTGGAAACAAAACTTTTCTGAAAGATACACATACAAAATATTTTATAAACTCCTTAGACAAAGTTTTAGGAAAATCCATCATTGAGAGTAGTAAGCTCTCCTACAGCATTGTCAAAGGACAAATCTCTTGTATAAAAAAGGACATCTTCATCTTGAGAATCATCTACTTCATGGCTATTGAGTCCTTCTGTGAGCAGAGCTTGTTTTACAGCTCCATTGTGTGGCTGGCTGAACTAAAACTACCCTTTTTTTAGTGGATTAGTCTTGGGCATAAGAAGAAGAACTTGTAGGGGGCACTTTTAATGCTAATTGGGAAAGTTAATTTCAAGGAACTCAATTCTGATTAATTTCCAATTGTGTTAATTGTGTGGAGATTCCCATTTAATCTCTAGCGAAAGTATATATATTGATATTGGTTGGCTTTTTATCATGGGAAGAGATTCAAGGTAAAGCATGTTGATAGCTTCTGAAAAATGATTTATCTCTTATAGCAGATGCATAACAGGTAGGCCTTGTGAAATATTTCTGTACTCTGTGTCAAATACATTTGATGCTTAGAATGGTGTCACGTTAAATAAAGCTGTATTAAATTATCAATACCAATCCTCATTCATAATTTATTATAATCTACTTCATGTATATTTGTTTTTATGTAACTTCAAGCATCATGAATAGCTGAGAACCTGGCCATTTCCTGTGACTCAAAAAATAATAATAACCACAACACAGAGAATGAAAATGTCTTGCAAGATAAAAAAATAAAAGAGGCAGAGACAGAAAAAGAAGTCAGGTTACAAATGACCTGTACAGACTCTAGAATGATACAAAGCAGATGGCAGTATAAATCAAAGTCAAGGACATCTAAAAAACTCAGGTCCCCTAACCAAAAAATTGGTTTTCAACATGAAATGATCCAATGCTCCACAAAACCAGCAAACAGTAAAGCCCAGTAGCCTAAAACACATGCACCAAACCATTCCATGGAACCCTACATGAAGAACTAAAGAAGAGCAGAACGTCTAGCTCACAGTCGATTGCAGGTGCCCAGTGCAGGTCTACTGGGCAAGAATCTGCCCCTCTGCGGGTGTCTGCCTCTCATGGAAAAACGCCCAGTGGTTTCACTCCAGCTTCCCTGAAGATATCAACAAGTGAATGCTTTTTCACCAACTCTCCTGTGGGTGACTGGTGTGCACCTAGAAACAGTCTATTAATTCCCCACCTCAAACAACAGCCAATTTCAGCAAAATTTTAAGTTCAAGTGCAAGAGGGAATCTCTCTAAAGAGGTGGGCCAATTCCCCATGAAGCATTGTTGTAGTCAGGATTTACAAGGGCAATAGATTCAATACAGGATGCAAAATTTATGGAATTATTATATAATAGTCACCCCAAAAGGAAAATGCAGCCAGAGATCCAGAGATGTATGTAGTTCAGTGGCACCACACCTGCCTGGCAAGTACGAGGTCCAGAGTTTGATCCCTGGTAACAACAACAACAAAAAAGTTGCACACTGAGGAGTGCAAGAGGTCTACCCACATGCTAGAGACCCAAAGACTCTAGCTAAGGGCCTGGGTTCCATAGCAATGCCCTGCACAACTCTAGGTGAAGACCTAGTTCCCAAGGCCATGTCCTCCACGTGTCTAGACAGAGCTCACAGCAATATGTCAGGCTTGTCCACGCTGAGGATCTGCACCCAAAAGGCCCAAAGTCCAGTGGAGGAAGCTAGAAAGCCTGCACAGGTATTTGAGCTCCAGGAAGATGGAGGTGCTAACAGTGGGCCCAAGTGACTTGTGCTCTGATCCTGGCCACATTAGGGAGCCCCTTCCTTCACAGGAGTCACAGTGCTCACAACAAAGCTGCGTGCTGCTCAGTCACACAGGCATGAGGAAGCGCGGATGCCAGCAGTCAGACACAAACCAAGGCAGGCGGTCTCAGTCCTCTGGGGAAGGGAGGGGAGGAAGAAGAGCAAAGGCAAGCAGTCAGACAGCACCTGCCAAGCCATGCACTCGGAAAGCGTAGGCAAATCAGGAAGTCAGGTGATTGGCAGTTGTCTCATGGACACATGTGACCCCAGGAAATATCCAAGCCACACCGTAACCCAGGTGAGAACCTTCAGCTCTCTGGGACAGACACCCCTGAGCAACAAAATTCCCAAGACCATAAACTAGAAGAAGCCCAAGTCCCTCTGGACTGCTCCTCACTACAATCTGCCCTGGAGCTAATTATTTACCGGAGAATCTCAGGTCTCAGAGCAGCCAGCCAGGAACCTCAGGAGGCCTCCACTCAACAAATCCCCTCTCCTGGCTGGGTTCAGGGACTGCCCCCTCTGTGGAGGGAACCCGAGACCCTGGAAGGAAGCTGCATCCCTGACCCAGGACCCAACTCTCCCACTGCTGGCTCCTCACTCTCTGCACCTCTGCTCTTCAATGTCAAGGTAAACGAGGGGAGACCCAGTTACTCATGAGCACCTTGCGGGGCCTCCTCTCTCCTCGAGCTGCGTGGGAAATTCCCTCCCTTGGCCAGTGAGTGTGGGTCAATCTAGGCTTTGGGAGGTAAAAACTCAGACACTAAAACGAGAGCTTTGAGGAGAGAATGTTTAACCCTGATGGTGATCACCTTTCCCCTGTCCTCATGTCTATCAGGTTTCCAATCCTAGAGAAGGTTACGACTGAGAAGATGTATATGATCTTGGAAGTTGCTGGCAAAGGAAAGGTGACAGCACAGCCATCCCCAGTGGTGAGAGAGGGAACAAAACCATCGCTGAACAACTGAGGGCCTGGTAAGGAGCAAGCACTAAACCAGGGTTAGATGAAAATCAGCAAGGAAACAAATACACAAAGAAATCTGTCATTCTGTGTCTTACATACCAGGAACCAGGGGCTGAAGATAAAATGAGGTTTCAGTAAAGTCTAGAGCATTGGGCAGAAATCGGGAAGGGAACAGAAGTTTCCGTAACAAGCGAGAGAAACATCATCTGGAGCCGAGCTGAATCAGCTCTGCGTGTGAGTGAGTGGCGAGGAGGTGGCCAGGAGCAGCCAGCGTGAGCATTTCGGGGGCTACAGGGGCAAGGAGCTCGGATGAGGCTGCAGAAGGACCTGAGCCACTCCCTGTACACCTCCCCATCCCTAAGAGGCAGCCGCAGCAGCACCTGAGCAGGAGAGGCAAACTTAAAGGTCAGAAGGAGGAAAAGCTGGCAATTCAGATTTGGTCTTTGCACGTTGCCTGTATGTGAGAAATAAGCATACAAGACTATGGAAATAGGAAAACATTTTAAGTTAATAATAAAATTAAGACCATTTTTGTTTACTTGTTTATATTTGTGCTGGTGATTGACCCCATGGCCTAGTGCACACTGGGGAAAGCTCTAGTCCTGAGTTGTGTACTCAGGTTTATACAAATTTTTAGAATTTAAGCATGCATCAAACTCAAAGCTCTCAGTGGCAGGAGAGGCAGGGGTGACTGAAGTGGTGTAAGAGGTCAAAGTAACACATGAGATGGAGAGGCGAGGCCGTGGAAAACTCCCAGAGGAGCTGGCACTGGCACAGGTTGTACACAAGACGTGTTCTTCCGCAGACCAACTGAGGCAGAGGAGAAGCCCTAGGCAGGGTTTTATCAATATTTCCCCTTTGTCCAACTTGTTTTAAGTGTGAGATCAAGGAAAGCCTTTACAATCTCCTCACAGATTTCATCTCAGTACCAAGTCCCCTGTCCTGTGAGGAGCTGTTACCTGTCCTGCTGACACTTGGGGCTCTCTCGTGCAAGACCCAGGGTCTTCTCTCCACAATCTTCTGTATTCACTACACTGGTGTGCTTTCTTCTCCCTGACTGATGAACTGCAAAGTGTGTGTGAGTTGGGAGGACCCACCGTCTAGAGATGAAGAGAGAGAGGCTCACTTGCAAGCTCACTAGGTGTAGCAGTGCCCTTACACTGAGCTGCAGGAGGTAGAATTTGGGCCATCACAACACAGCTTGTCTTCAGCCACATTGATTTGTATGTGTTATTGTGAGTTGTCATGGTTATTGTTTGTTAATTTGTTTAATATTTCTGGGAAAATAATCGTAGAATGAGCAAGTCGCCAGTTTCAGATAACTACTATTCATATACATGATACTCCACTGCATCTTGTCTAACAGTGAATGTGCTTTCTTTTTTTTTTTCAGCTTTAATTGAGTTTATTGGTACATTTTAGGGTTCAGTACACTTACATTCATTGTTGGGATCTTGTATATTATCTCTCACATTTTTTTCTTTTCCCTTATTACCCTTCCCCTACCCATCCCACCTTCCCTAAACCTTTAGCTCCTTTCTTCCCATTTCTAAATGTCAATAATCTTATTAAGATCTTATATATTATTGCAGATTATTCACACCAGGGAAACTATTCGGTATTTACACATGTGTGACTTATTTATTTCAGTTAGGAGTATATCTTCAATATGTATCCATTTTCCTATGAATGAATCTATTTTCTCGTTCTTTATGGCTGAGAAATATTCCATTTTATAGAAAAACCACATCTTCTTTATCCATTTTCCAACGGTTTGAATGTGCTTTCTTGCATTTCAGTGTAAGAAGTCAAAGATCAAGGTGCAGGTACAGCCTTCCCTAAACACTCGAGCTCACTGTGTCTGCCAGCAGAACAAACACTCAGAGAGTGTGAGTCTGGATGTAAACACAGTGTACACGGCCCTACTCCAGATGTCTAGCTACAAATAGGACCTATAACAATGTCCACTCCTGACTCTCCAAATAAGGGAGCATTTTCTTTTTTTTTTTCTTGAGTTTAATGTTACATTTTAGGTATATAGTACAATTACATTCATTGTTAAGATCTTATACCTTTACAAGACAGGTGGTATTGGTTCTCATTTTTCCCCTTGTCCCTGCCCTCCCTTCACCCCTTCCTCCCCTCCCCATTTACAAAACTTTATTTCCATTTTTTTCATTTTCTCCTATTTTTTCCCTTATTACCTTTCCCCTACCATTCCCACTTTCCCTAGACCTTTAGCCTTTTTCTTCCCATTTCACAATGTCAGTTATCTCATTGGGATCTTATGTACTATTACAGCTTATTCACACCAGAGAAACTATTCGGTATTTACACGTGTGTGACTTATTTATTTCACTTAGGAGTATATCCTCAGTATGTATCCATTTTCCTATGAATGAGTCTAATTTCTCATTCTGTAGGGCTGAGTAGTATTCCATTTTATAGAAAAAACACATTTTTTTATCAAATCTCCAACTGATGGGGCAAATGGGCTGTTTCCAAGTTTTAGCTACTGCAAACTATGCCACTATAAAAATGGCTGCGCATATATCACTCTGGTATGATTCTTTTAATTCTTTTGGAAAGATACCCAGAAGAGGTATGGCTGGGTCAAATGGAATCTCTACTCCCAGCTCTTAGAGGTATCTCCATATTGATTTCAGTAGTGTTTGCACAAGTCTGCACTACAACCAACAATGGAGAAGGGTTCCTTTCTCCCCACAACCCTGCCAACATTTGTTATTGGTTGATTTCTTGATAGCAGGCATTCTTTATGGGGTGAGGTGGAATCTCAGTGTTGTTTTCATCTGCATCTCTCAGATGACCAGTGATGTGGATCATTTTTTCATATTTTTTCATATATTTACTTGATGCTTTTACTTCGTTGTCTGAGAAATGTCTGTTCATTTCAGATCCCCATTTTAGAACTGGGTCTTTATATTTGGCGGGGGAGCTAATTATTTTGAGTTCTTTATATATTCTAGATAATAGTCCTTTGTCCAAGGAGCAGCTGGAAAATTTTTTCCCACATTTAGGTTGTCTCTTAGCTCTGTTGATGGTTTCTTTTGAAGTACAGAAGCTTTTTAATAAGATTAGATGCCAGTTGTTGATTCTATCTGCTAGTTCCCGTGCTGCTGGGGATTTGTTCATAAAGTCTTTTCCTATGCCAATGTCTTCAAGAGTTCTGCCTAACTTATCTTCTAGTAAGTTTAGTGTTTCTATTTTAATATTTAAATCTTTAATCCACTTGGATTTTAATGTAGTGCATGGTGAACATAAAAGATTAATTCTAATCTTTGGCAGGTTGAGATCCAGTTTTTCCAACACCATTTATTAGAGGCCATCCTTCCTCCAGTGGGGATGGTCAGCTCTTTCTCAAAGATGAGATAGCTGAGTATATCTGGAGTTATTTTTGTGTCTTCCAGTCTGTTCCACTGATCCTCAGGTCTGTTTTTTGCCAGTACCATGCTGTTTTTATCACAGTGGCTTTGTAGTATAGTTTCAAATTGGGGATTGTTATACCCACTGCCATGTGTCTGTTGCCTAGAATTGCTTTTGCTATTCTAGGTCTCTTATGGTTCCAAATGAATTTTGGGGTTCTTTTTTCTAGTTCTGTGAAATATAGTGTTGGAATTTCGATTGGCATTGCATTGATTGTATATAGCACTTTTGGTAGTATAGCCATTTTCACTACGTTGATTCTTCCTACCCAAGAGCAGGGGATATCTTTCCATTTTCTTATATCCTCTTCAATCTCTTTTTTCATAGTGCTCTGATTTTCATTGGAGAGGTCTTTTGCTTCTTTTGTTAGGTTGATTCCTAGATACTTCATTTTTTGGGTGTGCTATTGTGAAAGGAATTGCTTTCCTAATTTCTCTCTCAGTGAGTCTGTTATTTGCGTACAAGAAGGCTATTGCTTTTTTGGATGTTGACCTTGTATCCAGCTATGCTGCTAAAAGTGTCATTGATGTCTAGAAGTCTTTTGGTAGAGTTATTTGGGTTTTCAATGTAGAGTATCATATTGTCTGCAGATAATGACAGTTTAAATTCTTCTTTACCTATTTTTATTGCTTTAATTTCTTTCTGTTGTCTAATTGCTATGGCTACTTTTTCCAGAACTATATCAAAGGGGAGTGGTGATACTGGGCGTGCTTGTCTTGTTCCTGATTTTAGCATGAAGGTTTTCACTTTTTGGCCATTTAATATGATGTTTGCTCTTGGTTTTTCATAGATAGCTTTCATTAAATTGAGATATAAACCTTCTATTCCAATTTTTTGCTGGGTTGTTATCATTAATGGGTGCTGAATTTTGTCAAATGCTTTTTCTGCATCTATGGAGAGGATCATATGGCTTTTGTCCTTGACTTTGTTAATATAATGTATTACATGTATTGACTTATATATGTTGAACCACCCTTGCATCTCTGGAATAAATCTGACTTGGTCAAGATGTGTGATCTTCTTGATGATCCTCTGTATTCTATTTGCTAGTATATTATTAATGATTTTTGCATCTATATTCATTAAGGAGATTGGCCTGTAGTTCTCTTTTTTCGTTGTGTCTTTTTCTTGTTTGGGAATCAAAGTGATACATGGTTCCAGGAATGAATTTGGAAGTATTGCTTCCCTTTCAATTTCATTGAAAAGTTTGAATAGTAATGGCAGTAGTTCTTCTCTAAATGTCTTGTAAAATTCAGCAGTGAATCCATCAGGACCTGGGCTTTTCTTTGTTGGTAAATATTTAATTACATTTTCAATTTCACTTATTGTAATTGGGGTGTTTAAAATATTTTTATCTTCTTTTTTCAACTTTGGTAATTCATAAGTGTCTAGAAATCTGTCCATTTCTTCTGTATTTTCCATTTTGTTAGAGTACAGGTTCTCAAAGGAGGTACTGATTATCCTCTGGATTTCTTTTGGATCTGTTGTGTCTTCACCTTTTTCATTCCTAATTGCATGGATCTGAGCCTTTTCTTTCCTTTTCTTAATTAGGTTAGCTAAGTGTTTATCAGTTTTATTTATTCTTTCAAAAAACCAACTCTTCGATTTATTTATTCTTTGAATTGTTTTCTTAGTTTCCTTTGCATTGATTTCTGCTCTAATCTTTATGATTTCCTCACTTGTTTGAGCTTTGGGTTTTTCTTGCTCTTATTTTTCTAGGAGTCTAAGAGTCATCATTAGGTTGTTTATTTGATCTTGCTATGTTTTCCTAATGTGGGTATTCAGTGCTATGAATTTTCCATGTGGAACTGCTTTCATTGTGTCCCATAGATTCCTGTATGTTGTATTGGCATTTTCATTTATTTGTAAAGACTGTCTCATTTCTTCTTTAATTTCCTCTATGATCCATTGATTGTTCAGGAAAGTGTTGTCCAATTTCCATGAGTTTGTGAAATTCCTATGGTTTCTTGTGCTATTGCTCTCCAGCTTGATTGCACTATGATCTGATAATATACAGCGAATAACTTCAATTCTTTGCATTTATTCAAAGCTGTTCTGTGAGCTAGTATGTGGTCTATCTTTGACAATGATCCATGTGCAGCTGAAAAGAATGTATATTCTGATTTTGTTGGGGGGAATACTCTACAGAAGTCTACTAAGTCCATATGTTCAAAATCTTGGTTCAGTTCTAGTATTTCATTGTTGATTTTTTGCCTAGATGATCTGTCTATTTGTGAAAGTGGGGCATTTAGATTCCCCACTACAATTGTATTAATGCTTATTTGGTTTTTCATGTTTCTCAATATTTGTTTTATATCGTTAGGGGCATTAATATTTGGTGCATACATGTTTGTGATTGTCATCTCTTCCTCTTGAATTGTTCCCTTTGCAAGGATGTAGTGGCCTTCTTTGTCTCTCTTAATCAGTTTTGGTTTGAAATTTGCTTTGTCTTGGAAGAAGATTACTACCACTGCTTTTTTCTGGGCTCCTGTCATGTGGAGAATTGTTTTACATCCTTTCAAATTCAGTCTATGGGCTTCTTTTTGCACTAGGTGTGTTTCTTGTATACAACATATTGTTGGACTTTGCTTCTTAATCTATTCTGCCAGTCTATTTCTCTTGATTGGTGAATTGAGGCTATTGACATTGATGGTTATAACTGATATATTCTGACTTCTTATTGTCATGTTATTGTCCTTTTTTTTTGACTCTTTGCTTTTTCCCCCTCTCCTTTTAGTTTCTTGCCTTGCCTAATTGATTTGGTCTGTTGAGCTCATAGTGTTGTGACCTTCTTTGTCTTTTTCTAGGATATTATTTAGAATTCCTTGTAGTCCTGGTTTGGTGTTCATGAAGTTTCCCAGGTGTTCTTTGTCATGGAAGTATCTTATTTCCCCATGCATTTTGAAAGAGTTTCACAGGATACATCAGTCTATGTTGGAGGTTGTTCTCTTTTAGTACTTGAGATATCTCACTCAGGGCTCTATTTGCCATAGGGGTTTGTGTTGAAAAGTCTGCTGTGATTCTTATGGGCTTTTCTTTGCCTGTGATTTGTTTCTTTTCTCTTACTGCTTGTAGTATTTTCTTGTTCTGTTGGTTTTCTGGGATCTTTGTTATATGTCTAGGTGTAGATTTTTGAGGGGGGGCTAGTTGGAGTCCTATATGACTCACTTATCTGTATGTCAAATTATTCCCCTCTGTTTGGGAAGTTTTCTGTCATTAAATCTGTGAATAGCTGAAGTTGTTTGCATTTTCTCCTGCTACTTCATGGATTCCTATCAGTTTCATGTTATACTTCTTTGCATCATCTAGGAGTTGTTGGATCGATTTCTCATGATCCCTTACTGTTTTTAAGTGACCTATCTTTTCACGGTCAATCCTATTTTCTATATCTGAGAGTCTATCTTCTCATTATTTATTCTGTTGCTGACACTTTCAATAGAGCTTTTAATCTGGATATCTGTTTGAATCTGTTTTATGGATTCCATTTCTTTCCTCTTTTGGGCATTCATTGTTTCCATTTCTTTCTTATGCTGAGTCTTCATGGCTTCTATCATGGTCCTGAGCTCATGTATTTTTTTTTTTTGGCAGTTTCTGTTCTAGAGTCTCGAATCATGCCTTCCATCTTGCTCACCATCTCTATAGTTATCTGGGAAATTATTTCTGTTTTGAATTTTTCTAGAGCCTGATTGATCTGTTTTGTTCCTTCCTGTGTTGTGGATTCAGGGAGCCCTGGTGGTTCACTATCAGACTTTTCATCCTCCTTTTCCCTACTGTTTTCCATTGGTGAACTGGAAGTCTGTCTTTGTGTCTTGCTTAAGTGTTTTCTCATTTTTATTTTTGTTGTTGAGTTGTCCTTGATTTAATTTCTGGGTTATTACTTAAATCTTCCTGATATATTTGCGCTTTAGCTTTTGAGTCTCTAATGACTCATAAACATTCCCATTTTCATAAAATCAGAGAAAACGACTCATTAAATCAATCACAATCCTTTATCCCAATTTATACAATAAGCAGCATAACAGGAACAATCACAACTTGCAAATTGACCACTTGTTGTAGTCATTAATCTATCACCTTTAAACCATGTGAATTAAATTAAAATTAGGAAGCAGCCCAAAATATGTTTGCAGTGAATATGCTTTTCAATATAGCATCTTTACCATCTAGGATGGGGGCTTAGATAGAGTTAGGATGAGAGGAGTAGATACATGAAAGAATTGGAGAAGGTTTCAACTGAAGCCAGAGGACATAGAATGACCATACAATCTTTAGGAAACTATTAAATTCAAAAGGATAGGCAGAGTGCAGGAATAAGGACAAGAATATATTCCCTTAACAGTATTAGGGGCTCACTTTCCCTTGAAACTATTGATCCATGAGTGAGGTAAAATGACAGAAGAGAAGAACATAAAGAAAAAAGAAAAATGATTAAAGAAGAAGCCTGAGTTAGGGCAAGAGCAGGAACAGAAAGGGAGATGAGGGTTAATATGGTGGAGCAAGAGACTGAGTTGGAGAAAAGGACAGAAAAAAGAAAGAATTTGCAGAGTGGAATGAGGAAAAGAAAGAAAAAAATGACTTTGAAGGGCTTCTTTCAGACTATATCTCTGCTGTCATAATATACCACATGCACAGCCATGTGCAGAATTAAGTACCCTGATCTCAGAGAACCAATGACAGATCCCCATGGCTCAGGCTGACCTCAGGCCACAAGGCCCACATTGAGTTCGCTGACTCCTGCAGGGTTGAACTCCACACAGTTCTACTACAAGTTTCCCACGCCCTTTCTTTAAGATGTTCAAAGTTGGGAGCTCAGAAAAATATTGTTTATAACTGGCTGTGCCTCTGCAGAGTGGGTCCAAGGAATGGTCCAATCAGGAGGTCTCAGATTTGGAATTGGGGGTTCAGGGGCACCCAAGTGGCAACCTTTCTTGCTGGAACTGGTGGCAGAGCAGGCAGGGGAGGGCGTAGCTACCCAGTCCCCCCAAATGGGCCCAAGCAGGCAGGCAGGAGAGCAGATCTCTAAGGATGTATTTTCTGTGAGGTTTGTATTGACTTGCATTTGCGACAACTGAATCAACTCTCACAAACATTCTGTTCAGTGTTGTTCTCCACTTTTCCCTTCAGTTATCACAAAATTTAGTGCTTTCTTTCTTTCTGAAGCTTTGGGTAATATTTGCCCCTCCTTTTCTGACTCTCCAGAATGATTGACTACAGATCCGCAAGCTGATCAACTTTGATTCCTTCATATCCCAGAATCTAAAAATTTTACAGAGGGTTGTATCTGAAGGAGTTTTTCCTGGTGGCTTAGTAACAAGTCCCAGAAAAATTATTTTATAGCTCACTTTCCTGAATACAACTGATGGTGTTTAGTCATGACACTATGACTCTTTTCAATGGTAAAGTAAATAATGTTGGTCATAACATTTTATAAAATTTCAACTCATAATTTCTCCATTCTTCAGATAATTATATTTTCTATCTCATGGTATGCATTTTTCAAACTAGTTCATGTGTATTTCTCCCAATCATGAGAGAAAAGGTGTTCTTCAAAATGGTGCATATATTAAAGTATTTGCCCTCTAGGCAACTTTATCATGAAAATCTTTTGTAGAGAAAAGATGAAAATAACAGTACTATAATTAAGGGTAAGAGACACAGCATAGTGATGGGATCCATAAAAAACCACCACAGACTGCATGATGTCGAAAAACCCAGAAATTTATACAGAATAGGACGGTGCATATCAATGAAAAGCAGCCGCATAAAGTGATGCTGTCCAGTATGTGGATGGCTGGAGCCTTTGTGCACTGCTGGGTGAAGGAAAATAGCACAGAAAATGGGCAGAGAAACATGGCTGTTCTGCAGAGACTTAGACATAGGGTTACTGTAGGGTGCAGAAATGTCACTTCTGAGTGTTCACCCAAAGCAATGGAAACCAGGATCTCAAACAAGAATTGGACACCAATGTGTATAGCAGCATCAATAACATAGCAGAACGATGGAAGTAATGTGTGTGTCAGCTGAGAGATGAATCTGAACATCTTTTGTACATCTATAAAATCTGAGTCCTAAAAGTAGAAAAATATGATATACACTTGAGTACATATAAAATTTTAGGACATGATAAAAGAGAATAAGCTAACCACAAAAAACAATGCTTCTTGATTCTAACCAGGGTGATAAAGGTCACTTGTCAGGGGAAAGAAAGGAAATATCTCATAGGTACAGATGGAGTTTGCAAGAGGAAGATATTCAGGAATTAGATGGTGGTGATGGTTTTACCAAATTTTCAATGTACTTAATTCCACTGAATTGTATGTTTAAAAACTTGTGAGTGGATAAATTTTATGTCCCCATAAGAAAAATTTGGAACAAAAATGGAGAAAAGGTTGCCTCAAATAAACTTCACTTGATGCCCTCATTCAGGAAGAAAAAGTTCATAGTGTAAGAAGTTTCATGTGAAACTATTAAAATTGCAAGCATACACTAATTTAAAAGGAAGAGGGAAAAATAAATGGAAAAGGCACAATTATCTTTAAAAACCTGTCTCTTTCCTTCCAGCCATATATTAAAGACCAGTCCAATGGACAGTGGAAACATGAGCTTTCCCAACACTTTTGTTATGCTGGGCTTCTCAGAGTTCCCGTGGCTAGAGAGGCTACTCTTTGCAGTGGTCCTGGTCTCCTACCTCCTCACTCTGGGTGGGGAACGGCTCCATCATCCTCCTCTCCCTGGTGGACCCCAGACTCCAGACACCTATGTACTTCTTCCTGGACAACCTCTCTCTGCTGGACCTCGGTGTCACCTGCACCATTGTGCCCCAGCTGCTGACCAACCTCTGGGGGCCAGACAAGACCATTGCTGCCTGGGGATGCATCACACAGCTCTATTTTTATACCTGGGTGGGTACCAGTGAATGTGCTCTGTTGGCCATGATGGCCATTGATCGCTATGTGGCCATCCGCCAGCCCCTCAAGTACACTCTCATCATGCGTCCCTGGGTGTGTGTGCACATGGCAGCTGCCTCCTGGTGTAGTGGTCTGGCCAATGCTCTACTTCAGGCCACACTCACCCTCCAGCTCCCTCTCTGTGGGCACCACATCCTTGATCATTTCTTCTGTGAGATACCTGTGTTCATCAAGCTGGCCGGTGGGGACACCTCTATTAATGAGCTGACCCTGGATGTAGGAGCCATCTTCTTTGGAATGGTGCCTGCTCTGCTGGTGGTGATCTCCTACATTTTCATTGCTAGAGCTATATGGAAACTACCTTCAGCTGAAGGAAGGCACAAAGCACTGAGCACCTGCAGTTCCCACTTGCTGGTGGTCACCATGTACTTTGGACCAGGCATCTACATGTACCTCCAGCCTTCAGGCAAGAGGACACAGGCCAAGTTCATGTCCTTCTTCTACTGTGTTATCACCCCAGTGCTCAACCCACTCATCTACACCATGAGAAACAAGGATGTGAAGACAGCATGGAAGAGGATTCTGCAATCCCATGGCAGGGTAAAGTCCTTGAAATCCAGGTAATTTCTGCCTGCATCCTAAGCAACTACATATACACATTGGTGATCACTATCATATCACATCTTCTCTTCCAAATGAACATCCACAAGTGGTCTCACCTTTCAAGTCAAACCACTTTAATGACTGGAGGAAATCTTTGGTCTAGAATGTTCTATGTCTTTAGTCTCATAGACAGTCACTTTCCTTTCTGAAACAATACACATAGGAAGTCTGGCCTCACAGACACAAGAAACAGTATGGTCCATAACTCTTTTAGCTGGTGAGAAATGCTGTTTCATCCCTTTACTTTCTTTCTGCCTTTCTCTCTTTCCTTCTTTGTTCACTTTCTTCCATCCTCTTTCCTTTTTCTTGGACATATTAATTGCAAACTGCAATGGTGTTCATTGAGACACATTTCTCTGCATGCATGCAATGCACACTGATCATATCCACCCTCTCTCTTATCCTCTCTTGGCTGTTGAATCCTCCCTGGCCCCCTTTGTCCTGCCTAATTGTCCCCATTCTCCTCTGATCTCACCTTTTCTCTCCCTGTGTATCATATCTTGGTATTTGTTTTTTGGTAGATAAATTATTTTATGGAGATAAATTATTTTCAGTTCCATCTGATTCCCTGACAATGGCATGATTTTGCTTTCCTTTATTGTAGAATGAAACTTCACCATGTATATATACCACTTTTTCTTTACCCATTTATCCACTAACGGATACATATACTTTGAGTCCATAACTTAGTTACTATGAAGAGTGCTGCAATAAACATTATATGTAATGTTTAGCATGTATATTGTATACTGACTTGATTTTTTATAATACAAAAAGGGGTGCCTAGCTGAATCATGTGGTAGATATATTTTTATTTGAGTTTCATTTAAATAAACTCTATACTGATTCAATAGTGGCTGTTACTAATTTACATTTCCATCATCAGTGTATATATATTCTATTTTCCCTGTAAATCCATGAGCATCTATTTGTTCTTAATGATAACTATTGAACTGGATGAAATTAAATCTCAGTACAATTTAGATTTGTATTTTCCAAATGGAGTATTTTTTCAAGTAATGTTAGGCATTTGTACTTCCTTTGAGAAGTATCTACTCAGATATTTGGTTCATTGGGGGACTGAAATATTTGTTCCTTTCATGTTAAATTTTTTACCTCTATATTCTTGATATTAACCATGAGTCAAACAGCTGGTTAAGACTTTTGCTCATTTTGAAAATGGTCCCTTCATTCTTTTTGATGTTTCCTTTGCTATACAGAAGCCTTTTAATGTCATGAAAGCCATTTCTCAATCCTTGCTGTTATGTCCTGAGTTGTTGGATCTTATTCAGGAAATCCTTGCTTGCACCAATGACTTGACTTGCTTCCACTGTTTTACTCTCATACTTTCAGGAGGCAATTCCTACATCAATGTCTTAGTCCATTTTGATTTGATCTTTGCACAGAGCGAGACATAGGGATGTAGGTCCAGTCATCCGCAGGTCGTGCCCACTTTCCCATGTCATTTGATAATAAAGGCTCACCGTTCTCTAACCTAACTTTTAGCTCACAGTTGAAGATCGGATGAGTGCAGACACAGGGCTTATGTGTCGTTTATCTATTGTCATCCAACGGACAATACCACCCTACTTGGGGAAGGGGAGGAAAAGACGAAGAACAATGAAGAGGTGTTTTGCACATGAAGCAACCCCCCGTTGGGATGCAATCATTTTGTACTCCAAACCATTACTGATAAAAATAAAAATTAAAAATACAGAAAGACACAATCTCTGAAGGATATATTTGGGAAGCAGCTGTTATGATGAATGGAAAGTTGTTCCTCTTACTCAGGATTGCTTTGTCTACTCAGAGCCTTCCATGTAAATTCTCCCTTGTGGGTTTTAGGTTTTCTTCCTGTTCTGCTAAGAATGTCATTGGTTCTTGATGATCACTTTTGTTAGTATGATCATTATTAAGTCAATCTTAAACCTGCCAATCCAAGCATATGGGAGGTCTTTCCATCTTCTCATGTCTTCCTGAATGCTTTTCTTCAATGACTCATAGTATTAATTGTAGAGATTCTTAGCTTATTAGAAAAGTTTGTTCCTAGATATTTCATTGTGTGTTTCTGGGTGTCTGTGCACTTCTGTGTGCATCTATCATGAATGGAATTTTTCCTGACTTCTCTTTTGTGAATTCATAATTCAATAGATTTATATATAAGAAACCTATTCACTTTTCATAAGTTACTTTCATTGGTACATTTTACCTATACATATGATCACATTCATCATTGGGAATCTGTGCCTGTACATTTACATCCTGTTCTTATTTTTTCCCATTCTCTTTCCCTCTCTTCAACCTGTCTAACCCTCCCTATTTACCAAAATTTTATTTCTATTTTTTCATTCTTTTCTCATTTTTTCCTTCCCTTCCTTTCCCCCACTCTTTTCCCTCATTAATCTTCTAATTCAAACATTTTCTTCATATTTCAAATATCTTTTCTACATTTGAGTCCACATTTCCCCTTTCAACTTCTGACACCATAGAATCAATTCAGTATTTGCACGTGTGTATGATTTATTTCAATTAAGAGTACAGTCTCAAGGTGCATCCATTTAGCTGTAGATGTCTCAAGTTTATTTTTTGTTATGCCTGAGTAGTACTCCATTTGTTAAAAAACAACAACAACAAAAATTTCCTTTATCTCTCAATTGGTTGATGTGCATTTGGCCTATTTCCAAGATTTGGCTATTACAAGCTGTGCTGTATAAACATGAGTTTGCATATATCACTGTGGCGTGATGCTTTTAATTCTTTTGGGAAGAATATTACATAGGAAGCAAGAGGACAGCACCAGATATTCAGAGACTTTACTTCAGTCCATTTGAATGACAATTTTATTGTTTCAGAGTCTTGTTTTCAGGTGACTCAGGCATATTCCTCAGAGCCAAATTATTCTACAGACAAATAAATCAGGAATGAACTTCCCTGTAGAGTTTTCATCTCTACACATGAGGCCCTGAATTAATGATCTCCCTGCATTAGCCCAGGTCTCAGGAGAGCTGAGCCAGGTGCCCTTAGCAGCCCTCTAATCACCATTCTCTCTCCTGCCTTGATTCTAATCACTCCCACCTCACTGCCCATGAAACTCGGCTCTGAGGAGAACCAGCCTCACTAGAGCCAACCTGACTTTCCTCCATTGCTCTCCCATTGTGCATCTCCGCCTTCTTCACCTCAAGGTAAGTGAGTGCAGCTGGGCTGTTCTTGAGCAGGAGACTTCATTCTCTCTCTTCCAGTGAACTCCATGCAGGATCATCACAGAGACTCTCTTCCTTACCAGGTGAGTGTGGGCTCCTCTTCGTCTCATGAAGTGAAATCATAGGAACCAAAATGAAATCACGAAGACAAACTCTTTTGAAATCTAACTGTTACCCCCAAACTTCTATCACCACTAGATTTCAGGTCCAAAAAATATGAAGACTGAAAATTTTTACACATTTTTAAATCAGTGGAAAAGAAGAATTAATAGCAAAAGGTCCCATGAGGAGACTGAGAAAATGATAATCACCTCAGGAAACTGCACCTCTACTTTGCATGAAACATTGCACTGGATCTTAGGTAAATGCAATTAGGAATGAAAAAGTTGAAGTCACAAGAGATCCAGCAGAAATCCAGAGGATCATCAATACTTACCTTGAAAATCTGTACTCTAATGAAAAGGAAAACACAGAAGAAATGTACAGATCTCTAGAAACATGAGAATTATCAAAGTTGAACAAAGAAAATTAACATATTCTAAAAACCCCAATTACAATCAGTCATATTGAAAAAGTAGTTAAAAGTATACCAATGAAGAGAAGGCAAGGTCCTGATGCATTCATTGCTGAATTATACAAAACATTTAGAGGATAACTACTGCCACTACTCTGTAAACTTTTCAATGAAATTGAAAGGGAAGCAAAACTTGCAAATTCATTCCTGGAAGCAAGTGTTACTCTGATTCCAAAACCAGTGAAAGGCCCAACAAAAAAGAGAACTAAGGCAGACCACTCTAATTGACATAAATGCAAAAATCCTCAATAATATCCTGGCAAACAGAATACAGAGAGTTATCAAGAAGATCATACACCCTCACCAAGTTGGACTTATCCAAGTGATGCAAGCATGGTTCTACATACATAAATCAATAAATGTAATACACTATATTTACAGAGTCAAAGACAAAAAAATCATATGATCATCTCAATAAATGCAGAAAAAGCATTAGACAAAATTCATACCCATTCAAGATAAAAGGCCTGCAGAAAATTGGACTAGATTGTCTTTATCTAAACTTTATAGAGTCCATCTATGAAAAACCAACAGCCAACATCACAGTAAATGGTCAAAAACTGAAAACTTTCAAACTAAAATCAGGAATAAGACAAGAATGTCCGCTATCAAAACTCCTGTTCAATACAGTTTAAGAAACATTAGCCATGTCAATTAGACAAGAGAAAGAAATAAAAATAAAAGTTAGGAAAGGGAGAATTTAAATTGTCATTATTTGCTGACGATAAAATACTCTATCTAGAAGGCCCAAAAAAAACTCTGCAAAAAAGACTTCTAGACTTAAATGACAGATTCAGTAGATTAGCTGGATACAAGGACAACACTCAAAAACCAATAGCCTTCTTATACAAAAGTAACAGAATCACTGAGACAAATTATGGGAAAGAAAATCCCTTTCACAAGAGCATCAAAAGAAATGAAACATCAAAGAATCAATCTAATGAAGGAAGAATAAGACTTCTACATTGAGAAATACAACACTCAAAACAGATATCAAAGAGGACATAAGAAAATGGAAAGATATCCCTTGTTCCTAGATTGGAAGAATCAGTATAGCAAAAATGGACATAATTCCAAAACTGCTATGGAGATTCAATGCAATCTTGATTGAAATCTCAAGAGTATGTTTCACAGAACTAGAGAAAACAATCCAAAAGTTCATTTTTAACCAACCAGAAGAAACCTAG